GGAGCTGGTGGAATGAGTAAAGTGATGATTAACGTAATTAGAATAAGAGATAATATTATTTATCTAATGATTTCATTCGTTAATTTCTCTACACGAGAAATTATTCGAAGTGTGTATAAGTGCACTGCAAATATAACACGTGAAACCGAAAATTCAATTGAATATTTTCATCTGACTAGTGAGATTGTGCATGAGTTGCATTCACCACGCAAATTTCTTAATTTAGTGATTCATGATTCATGGTTCATTATATTTCGTTGAGACTGCGTATCTTTTGGTGATAGGGAAAAAAAATGTATTTATGAATGTTACGGATAAAGCATTGATTCTGTTCAGTGGAATGCACATCGATCATAATTTTGGCCTTGTTGAAGTTATATGCGATACAAAATGTGATTATAGCTGGATATTTGTGTGCTGAATTGAATTATTGAGAGCATCAAACACTTTTCGAAATGTCACCGAGAATCAGCTTTATTGTAAAGATTAAAATCACATACATAATGAGATTTAATCCAAGATAATCCAAATGATCCGTTAGTAGCAAAGCTCGATAATTTCATCCCTAATTTTGACCTAGGAAAATTTACTAGCCAATGTTGGACTAGTCGAACGTTGTCGAAAAAACTGCAGTTGTTGCGTTTGCGTAGTGCAGTCATTTTTAACTGTAGCCATTTCAGAGCGTATCACCGCTAACGTTCTCATCAAATCTTAGGTGTGCATGTCATATGCGACTGGACAGATGCTTCTGCCGTCAGTCGTCCACACATCAAATTTTACCTTTTTTTAGCTCAGTTCACATCTGCATGAGTGTGAAATTTCGCATATCAGTTAAGAATCCATGGGAGCTCATTTTGTCATCGGCTGCTGTCGCCGATCATGGCGAAGCGATCGTTTCGAAAGCTGTTGAGGAATTGCGAGTAAATGCACAACTCATGTTTTACTCATTTACTCTTATTCAAACTGTTGTGATGGCTGTAATCANTTAATCAAGTTGACAGATATATATCAATATTTCATAGAATTTGAATTCACCTAAATTCTTAGTGCGGCACTTTGCTTGGTTCACTCGTAAGACGAACAAGCAATGCGCCAGAAATTACCGTTAGGAAATGAACACTTTATTCATGAAGTACGTCATCGAATAGAATTACGACATCAAGAACGAAAGATGATGTTATATATACAATGAAAAGATATTGTTTCATGATAAACACTGTAATGTCTTCAATATCAGGAGACAACACAAATTATGCCGAATCGATCACATCTGAGATCATAATCAAATACATTTGTGCTCAGCAGTTACCTACAGTCATGCTCAATATGAAATAAATTATTACAAATTGTCAAATCTGAAATGAAACAGCAACAATAACCATAATCAATCACAAACTACAAAAATGCTTCTGAAAATGATCATGATTACAAGCTTAGTACAGCTAGTTCTCATGAGCAAAAGCAATGCTTTCATTTTGTTGAGAAGTGCGAAAAGTTGATGAACATCGTGATGGGAACATCAGTGGAAAAAGACTCAATTGTTTGACGAAATAAATAATTTGTAGTGAGCGGAGAATTCATTTGCGAAGAGACTTCACTTGTCTCGTTTGAAAATAATGATAAATTGTAGATACGTTCTGCTTTTTCAGTGCTCTTAACGAGCTATGGTAATACGTAATCGCAAGTTTGAAAGATTGTATTGGCATTCAAAATGTTCATCAACATAAGTCATCAATGTATGAGTTGTCACAGTCATTGATAAGAAATGATTCGATATCCAGAAACTTTTGCTCACACTGCATCGCAAATCAGTTTACTTTTCCGATTCATGTGTTCGCATCGATAGAAGGCTGATGACATGGCAGTCCGATCTATCTAGTCTGGTCACGAGATTTTCAGTGCTGCACAGCTCCACAGATATCTATGTGCACCGATCCTAACAACTCAATGATTTTCGACTCTATTGAACCGGTAGAAAGAAATGCCTCTCCATCATCAAATCATCAACCAGTGCATCAGTATCGTGTCGCAGCAGCCGCAGCAACAGGCGTAATGGCGACACTTTCACGTTTTTCACTCAAATTCGTTATAATCATCCCTGGAGTGTGCCAAAGTTTCCCTTTCCATTGTCGAATATATTTATCGACGAATTTCTTTCGAATTGTTCTGAAATTAGGCATTTACCTTAAGAAGAACAATAAATGCAAACTAATCTATACAAACTCATCTAATCGTAAGATCAATGGTAATCATATAATCTCACTAGNATTGAGATGAATTAATAGTATTTGCTTCTAGTCTTCATGATATCACAGATCGACAGGTCATTTGACAATGAGATAGCGCGATTTGGCATTAGATCAATCAGTACACAGGATGTTATGCGTTCGGCACATTGAAAACATTTGATTTCTTATTCTAGTATCTATTCACCAACGAATTCCATTAAGTTTTCATTATTTCGTGATCCTGATTAGCTGTACGGTATTCGAAAGATAACATTTCGCTGCTGATAAAAACGAATAATGTACAAATCAACAGAAATGAAGAAACGAATGCCAAAGAATTATTTGCCGATTGAATGCGATATAGAGCATGGGACTGAGTCCACAATAGAGCATCCACGATATGCTGATGCCGAAGAATGTCCATTGTGATAACGGTAGGAAGAGTTTGTAGTCGTGGAACGTGAACGTTATAAACAGCACCCAGCAGTATATGATCACTGAATGCAGCAGAATACGTAACTGTTTCTTGTTGAACACCATACGATGTGAACGTCTCTGAAAACGAGTCAGTCAGTCCCACATTCGTTACTATGAAACCTAACGAATTACACTGCACAATTATGCTCAATTCAGGTTCACTCATCCGCATAATTCACCTGCTCTGAACGCAAAAATATCCTCAAATTTGGTATCACATTGTGGGTACTTTTGTAAGTTGTTATTTTACTTTTCATTAAGATGTTTTTTCGTGAAAGGTACACATTTATTGAACCAAATGAAACATTTTCATTTGTTTTAATGCGCCAAACTTTGCAAAATCGCATGTTTATTGCTTCACTAACAAGCCTCATACATGAACTAGTAGGTCGAAATATAATTCAATCGAAATCTGCTCTTCAAATTGTCAAAAGTAAGCAAGTATTGGCGTTAAAGTAAACAAATCCTAAACAAACCATAAATAAAAACGATCCAAATTCTCGCTAGTGCCCAATCAAATTCATTCGATGTTTTCGAAGCAATTTTAACATTTTCAGTGAATGGAATTTCAAGAGAGTCACTCACCTTTTTCAGAATCAAAATGAATGCGAACAAATAAATAATGAACGATAGTGATGTCACCGAGATTGTATAGAACCAGTCCACATTGCTCACGTAATCGTTGAACGGTAAGTTGGTATAGGTATAACAAAACCACTCCANTAAATACTCAACGTTACACCACGGTGTTAAGAAAACAGCCAGAAACATCATTCCAACTCCGTATGCGACAGCTTTATGAATCTGCAAGCGATCACAATGTAAACCACGAGTGAGCGACTAGCCACTTTCACGACTTTGACTTGACACTTTCATTCAAAAAACTATCAATCATAGTTCACAACTGTTTTCTTATGAACTCGTTCGGTTAGAACGGAACCAATGCAGACGTTCTGAGCATAAATTAACGTCATTCTGTGAATTTTAGGTGCTCGGATGAACTCTTGTGAATGTGTAGAATATGCAGATTGTGCGAAACAAAAGAGAGGTGTTAAAAACGGCCACTCACTACACTTGCTGATGAACAAATCAGTAAGAAGTTGCTCTGTTTTGTGTTCATACCACTGTATATGATCGAGAATTGATTCAAAGCAAGCGCCAAAATCAGCCCCAACATAGCAATCCAAGCAGCATTCAGTATTCCACCGGCTATCTGCAAACGTAATCGTTTCCTCACTTGCAACTTGTTTCTTCATAAATCAAACAACCATCAATGCACTCAAATCTCAATGAAATATACGTGCTTTCTCGTTTTGTACGGATAGAGAAGATACGAAACCATTTGGGCGATTTGGACGAAAAATGTACAAAATACTGATGAAAAGTTTCTGCTTTCTAAAAGTAAAATGCATTTTTAAAGATATTTCGCTCGATTGTGTGCTCCGATTATGCCGTAAATCCCTCCTTCTGCATCCCTCCACCCATACGCTTGATCGCATTGATAATCGATCAGCGCTTGAAAATGAGAATTCAACGACGGGAAAAGAATCAACATGCGAACCTTATTAACCCATGGATCGAACACAGACTGACAAAGAGTGAATAAACCAGCCAAGAAGTGAGAAGAAAGCTGAATGATATTCTGAACACCAATATGCACCATAATGCGATATGCTTCAATTTTTAGCAGTTCTTCATCCGAGATCAATATCTGTAACGGTGTATTAAATTACTTGGTGAATCTTCAACTCTCATGCTTATTTGCAACTGAACTACGTTTGACTACCTTGAACTATCTTTGACTATGCATACTGATTGTTGAAATCGTATTTGTTTAACGAATCGCTCATCAGAACTTA